TATGCTTTTCTGTACCAGGTATGTAGGTATGTAACATAAAGCGTTAGAAATACTTACAATTACATAGCTGCAAATGCAAAATAATGCATTTTAATTTGTATCAACTGCACACGTTTTCGAAAAAAAAAGAAAAAAATCTGATGTGTACACCACATGACTTCCTTGTACGGAATATTACATTATACGCATTTTTTCTTGCATTTCATTTAAACTTACTGGATTGAATTAAATCTACTTCGTCGATAGCGCATTAACCACAATAGAATAAATGCACTCTTTAAAATTCACAATATTTGTTTACCATAGCGTCACTCTGGCGCTAGGTTAACTTAACAGCGTTACATTTCGTTCATTTAACTCAGAATGCACGAAATTTATATCATTTGAAGAATTATCTAATCGTTGCCACATGTTCTATTCAAATCCTCTAATATATATAGAACGATGTACAAAAGAAATTAAGCAAACAAAACAAAAAAGAAACATTTTTTCATAGACGATTCAGTATTTCTCATCCAATTAATTCAGTTCTCACTTCGCGACAGGGCAAAAATACATAAAACCTCAAAATATGTATATTAAAAATTACGAAGTAAATCTTAAATACTTATTTCCTCGAAAAAATTCCAGAAAGGATTATAAGCATGATTTAATTCGCAATAATAAATGAAGGCCTTATCTTTGTTGTTGCGAAGCTTAGTCTCTCTAGATTGGCAATAAATCTACTATTCTGCTGTTTCAAATGTAAACAAATATGTCCGCCATGTTATTTAAAAATTAGGCTTAACCGCACTTAAACAGCTTTTAAATTGTTGATTAATTGTACAAATACTGCTTGCAAATTTACTAAAGACATAAAAACCTTAACCGGAAGATAAGAACAACATAATTCAATCATTTTTAAAGCAAAAAATGCAGAATTTACAAATATATAAGAGTAAAGAAACTGAGATCACTGAGCCGGGTAACAGAGTGGATATATTTATAAATATATTTATATACGTTCGGCGCGGCCGATTGAAACCAAAATACGAGGTGCACATCTACATGTTATAATAGTCTTATATACAAAATTTCAACGCTCTGAGACTACTCATTTTTTGAGTTATGAGAGATACGTACGTACGTACGTACAGACGGCAAGAAAAATTCTCATCAGAATTCCTTTTAAAACAGTTTTTTTTTTTTTTTTTTGAGGAAAAGAGTCTTTTATTCTTTCCTTACGTACAGATGTCACGCAAAAACATCTTTAAATTGCATTCGATGGCGGTCAAAATGGATATTTTCGTTGAAATATGCTGCCTGAAATTTTTCGCGATAACAGTACTTCCTTTTTACTTCGTAGAAGGAAGTAAAAAGGGAAAAAATAAATAATGAAATTATCAAGAACTGCTTTTAAAGTGCTTATTTTGTTAACCAATAGCAAACTGATCAGATTTAAAAGAAAAATTACAAATCTGAGTTCTTTGTTATTCGGCAAATTCTGAGGTTAAATTCGTAGAATTTGCCGAATGACAACAGTCTTCAGAATGCACTACGTCCGAGGTAATAAATATGATAAATCAAAACTCCAAAGCTTATGTAGTAGCAACACCTGCCGAGAACTACATTCTAAATTCTTTCCATTCTTCTCATTCTGGAATTTCGCCAGACCGGATTTTATTTATCAAACTCTGGCTGTTCGAAATCCGGTTAAATTCGAATGAGCTATTGTGTTTTAAATGATTTATAAATTTATTGATGATTTAAAACAGCATAGCTTATTCGAAATGTAAAGAAAAATCAAATTTCCCGTCAATTGCAGCGCTGCGGTGTTTCTGCAAATAAAATTAAGTGAATCATAAAGTTGGGAAACGGTGCCATAAGTCCTTCTTATACATACTCGTATAAGCAAATAGGGTAAGAAAAAGTGAGTCAGACTAAAATTGCATAGAACCAGAAACAAATGAAAATGCTTTTGTGTTCCGTTTTCTGAACAGCGTAACTGGTCATAGAGAACGACCTTTCGCGGAACTTGGCGTGCTGTCGTCCACCGAATGACTGGATGGATTCCGCAGGTAGTTTCGCCGGGAGATCTCTTCATTCCTGCGACGCAGGGTCATAGTGGCAAAGCTAGGCTACAAAAAGTAGGCCAAAACATGCCGAGAAAACTAATTTTGGAAACCTTCCTCATCCCGTTTTGTGTGGGTGATCCAGCAGCTGAATATTTTGTACGCGAAAATCGGTCATTCTTATTGTCTTAACGCTAAATGTGTAGATGAGGAGTGATTTAAGAAGGGACTATTTCAAGGACATTTTTTTTTTTTTTTTTTAATTAAAGAAGGGATTATGACTTCTGAATGACCTTGTAATACGAATGCAGTTTAAAAATAATTTCCATGAAAATATGATTCAGTTTCATTCAAATCTCTGTGTGCGAAATAATTAACTTGAAAATTGTTACATTTTTATTATATAAAATGCGTAGTTATTATTAATGCGCATAAATTCTGTTGTAAGATTAGAAGGAATTACCATAAATGCGTTTCAATTAATATATTTCGCTTAATCATCAATTAATGTGTGCTCATCCATCAGTTAATGTATGCTATGCAAATTGGATCACGCGAATATAATAAACTATAAACAATAATATTAATTCATCCAACAATAGCTTAACTAAGGAGATAACAAAAATCTAATCTACAATTGAGACGCTTAAAATAATCAAATTTTGATTAATTATTAATAAAAATCAATTACTTAATGCTTTTAAAATTTAATGTCTATAAACATAAATACACTATTATAAACTGTTATAAACTAAAATCAGAAATGTCACAAAATTTTAAGCATGGAGGAAACTATGAAAATATACATGGAGAAATCATGTAGCCAGCCCGTTCACCTAGATCTGAATTGCCTGGGCAGCGGTAAAATCGTTGAATACCGGAAGTTGGATTTGATCTTGAATCTCGGCGAATGGGCTGGCTGCATGGATGTTCTCCTGGTTTTTCCATAGATTCGAACCAATTTCACTTAGAAAGTTCTCCACGAAAGCATTCCTTCCCTTAGCTAGATAGCATTCGGGTGCTTTTCCATAATCAAATAAACTAAACGAAGCCGTTTCGTTTATTTGTCCGTTGTCTTATACATTTGGCCAACGGTGCGTCTAGTTTTCCCTATCTGTAACGTAAATGCGAGGTAGTTTTTCTTATAATATTTTCCACGAAGGCAACCCTTCCTGAGGTAAATAGCCCCGTCATGCCACTGTTCGCTAAACGAATAAACGTACAATTATCTTGCTAATAAAAGGTATTAATTTTGAAACTATATTATGGCATATAATGAACAATGTTTTATCACTTTATTGATGATTCTTATAAATATGATTCAATTTCTCTTAAAAGGTTGTAAGGTATTTATTTCTCCCGCCTTCCTAGCGTGCCTTCGTGCTGTAGTGGTCAGCACACTGAGCCGGTATTTCAGAGGTCTGTGGTTCGATTCCTGGCGAAGGCGGTTGCTAGTTTTCATCTTTCCTGCTTCCAAAAATATACCTAATCTCTCTACAAGGTCTTCCGCGAAGGCATCCATCCGCCTAAAAGATAGCCTCCGCGTAATTTGTATAACCAATAAAGAAACAATTCAGATTTTTCTCGCCTTTCTGACAAAAATGAGCAAAGGATGAACACCCGCTTTTGCCTTTAATGGCCGATTAACTAACGAAGTAGCTCAAGCCACAGAACTCATAAATTGTCTAAGGTTTTAATTTCGATGAAGAAAAAGAGTAAGTGTTTAAATGTTATGTGCCTGGGAGTAATTCCACATGCAAAGTCACCCACAACTCTTTCTTCTCTTCAGTTGATATTCATGTATTTTCACTTTATACATTACTTTGGTAGCAAAATTTTCTGCAAAAATATTTGCAATCGGTCAATGTATAGTTGCCTTTTTTAGTCCAAACGAAATTTGAGTTCCCGAAGGACTATTACTTTCGTTTTGGCATTTTGCGTCGGACTCCTATAAATGTCGGTTCACTTTTCAAACTGTTGCCACAAAATGTTAGAGTCCTGCATTATATTTGAAGAAATTAAATAATGAAAAATCTGCATCAATGTATGTACATTTCTCGCATTGTGACAAAATAACGGTACATAGAGCCGTCGAATTTTGAATGACGTAATCCTCCAATGAATATGGGCATGTGGAAGACCAAATTTGAAATTTGGAATTTGTTTTATTATCGATTTCCTATTTTGTAAAACGAATTTTTGATTAACAAACTCAAGGATTTCAAAGCGAGCAATGGCAACGTTGTGCAGAAAACACATTTTTATCTCCAGCGCGTCGAACTGTGTATCGGAAATTCTAATGATATGCTCATTTTAACATTATTTTGCGACATTGCTATTGAACTAAATTTTTATGGTTTAAGTGAAAAGAACATGATATTTAATAAATAAAGAATAAATAAAGGTAACACACAAAAATGTTCAAAAAATGCCCATTTGGACATAATTTAAAATCTGAAACATTTAATTTTTTTGTTTTGTTTTGTTTGTTTGTTAAAATTAGAGAATTTCTCTGTTGGTGTGGTGAGGAGTAGAAGTTGACTGCCAAACCAGTATACATAGGAAAAGAAAGGTATAAGACACTTGGACTCCATCCTCCGGTGTGGCTTGCATAAAAGTGGAGCTAAAACAACTTGTACTCGTTTTGCCTTAATTAAATAATACGATCTATAACTGGACGAGGTCTTTTCAAACGCCTTTCAATTTAAAAGAAAAATTCATGCATTCGACATGCATCTGTAGCTTTTTATACGCAAAAAATGTTAGCTGTTAGAGAGAGATTTTTGCCGTCTTCCAAATTAACTTCCTGTAAAGGATGACCGTGCATACATGTGGACACAGGATTTAGTCGCTTTTCCTTCCGACGACGATAAACCGGTACCTCCTGGCAACCCGTTTCGGAAGATTGTTAGCAGCAGTGGAAGACAACATTTCAAGTAACTCTAAAACATTAGGTCACTCGAACAGCAGGTTCAAATGAAAGATCCATGTCTTGTAAATGAAGCGACCAGTCATTCAAGTCATTCTGGGGGACTGAGAAGGCCGCACGAATTCTCACCGCTTCATCGTTCAAATATGCCCTCGGATTGAATATCGGCTTTCATAGTTTGCACATTATTCCAAAAGCAAGATTGATTTTTTCTCCTATATTAGGTGAGTGTTCAGTTTATTCATATGTTCGTTTATTATTTGCCGTTTTTTCCCCCCTCCAAAAAATTTCACGACAGGGTTCTACTCAGTTGCTATTAAAGTACTTTTAGTTAGAGTAATCGGTTTAAAAAAACTTTCCCTTTTGTTTTTTAGAATTTTTTCGAATATCATATTTGATACAAATATAGGTTTAATTGATCCCCTCTTCAACATTTAAAATAGTTTTATGTGTCGAATGCTAATTAATTGGAAATTTCATTGAATATTGTCTTGCGGCTTCTCGTGCATTTCGCTTGCATTGATTGTAAAGTATAATCATTTTAAAGTAACGATTATCTCTGTACATTTGTCTAAAATATATTATAAAAAGAACGGTTAAACAGCACCCAGCCGCTTAAAAATGAATATTTTAGCATCCACCTTGGCAAAAAAAATCTTGGAGCATAATTCGTATTCTAGGAAACAATAATTCAGTATTTGGCAGTTAGACAATTTTTAAAACTACTTGCATCAGTTTAAATTTAAAAATATTCGTCGTCTAAAGTATGACTATTAGATTATATTTTTAATGCACTGAACCTACATGTGAATATTATTTATATATAATTAACATTTGAAAACCTGTAAAGTACTTACATGAAAACGATTTCGATGTATCAAATGTAAAATTATATCATAAAGGAATATCATTGAATGACATTAAATGGAAACCTTCATTTATCCTAAATTATTTTTTAACCGACCCTTCAAGTAGGGCAATAAATTCTATTTTATGGTGCTGTAAAATAAACCAAAATCGCAAACTTTAAATATCTCGGCCAAATTTTGTCATTCGAAAGTCAAATACTTTCTGTTTTATTTCTTAAGATGAATATAAATTTCTACCAAACATTAATTAAAGGAACCAGCAGAACGTGTTAAAATGTTAGGTTTTCTATTTTTTGAAAAATAATTTTTTCAATTTAAAAATGCCAAAGCATGAATATGTGTAGCATTTAAAACGTTTTCATAGTTAGAATTATGTGTCTACGCTATAAGATATTTTATTTATGAACGAAGAGCTATAAGATATTTTCTCCTTTCTTTCTTCATGCCTTTATGGTGTAACGGTAACACATTCGGCACATATTCCAGAGGTCTAGGTTCGAGTCCCGGCGAGGGCATTGCTCATTTTTCACGTCTTCCGCATACAAAAAACCTAATGACTGTACAGTGGCGCCCTAACTTAAAAAAAAAGGTGGTGGATGGTTGTTCCACCAGGATTTGGCAATTGGGTCCCCTAATCCCCCAGTCGCCCTTTAAAAGGGGGAGTAAGGTATTTTCTCCTACTTTTCTGCATGTTTTTGTGGCGTAAAGGTAGCACACTCGGCGCGTATTCGAGAGGTCTAGGTTCGAGTCCCGGTGAGGAAATTATTCATTTTTCGCCTCTCCCGCATCAAAAAAATTTATCTGTCTATCTAATATTTATAACTATATATTAAATTAAAACTTAAAGTTCAATTTGAAGATTTAATAAGATTTTTCAGATATTCCAAAAATATTAAATTAATTATGCGCTAAAGCAGCAACAAACAATACATATAATTAAATAAACAAAAACTATATATTACTACTTTCTAAAGGAAACAAGCATAATGTACATAAAAAAAGCAAAACATGTAAACATGGGGAAACTTTCCTTTAGTTTTTTCTTAAAGTTATTTAAAAATTATTATAAAATATAATTTAATAAATCCTTAAGTTAATTAAATATTAAAAAAAACTGAATAAAAGAAATGTGTGAAAATAATGAATGAAAACTGATTTTTTCTATGTCTTTCTCAAGGGTCAGACCAAAACGATTAATCCTTCTGTATTTCTTAGTTAAAACTTTTAATCTGAAAGGATCTAAAGTAATTTAATTCACATGAATTCGTATTTTATTTGGTTCAAGTAGATTAACACCTGTTTCTGTTCATTGTATGTAAAATTTTTATGAAACTTTTGTAATTTGTTTCCCATTTATTTAATTCCTTGAAAGGTTAGTATTAAAATTTTCTTTACGGAACAAAGAATTTTGCCTTGCAATTGAAAAAGAAACATTTTATTTAATTATATTATATTCAATAAATTTTATGAAAATGAATGCTATATTGTAGATAGACGAAAATAAAGATTTTCTATTATTTATTATTTCTGAAATTAGTTATTTTATAAAATATTAATTCAAGTACTTTGAACTATTTTAAATTCGATCAGAAATATAGCCCAATTAAAAAGATTTAACTGTTAAATAGAAAAGGACTAATTTTTTTTGGGGGGGGGCTGTTCACTTGAGAAAGATAATTGAGTCCTCATTTATTTCATTAATTCATAGTTTTTCCATATTTCCTTCATTCAGTTTTCGTGATATTTAATTAATTTTAATTCGTGTTAATTTTTTTGTTAATTTCAGTTACCAAATCTTTCATTTTTAAACCATTATATTTTTTAATAAGTTAAAAAATTTGGATGAAATTTTTTCCTTGTTCATATTTGCATGTTTTAATTTATGTATATTATACTTGCTTCCTTTAGAAACTCATAGTTTTTATTCATTGTTTATTTTATCAAATATATATATATGTGTGTGCTGTCTGTGTGTGTAAAGAGAGAGTAAAAGAACCGTTCTAAAGAAGTTCTGGTCCATGGCTGATAATTAAAAACATATTTCAGTATTCAAGGAAAACTCAATAAAAATTTAGGACACCCGTTCATGGTGTGCCCGTTCATACACATCCGTTCATAGTGTGAATTAGATTTAATAATAAAAAAGTACCAGCAGATGAATGGTGAGAATTGACTGCTGAAGCGACAAAAACACAGAGCAATTATCCTGTTCTTCCAGCGCGTATTGAATCGTTAGATTACCTAATCAAATAGATAAATTTTAACGCATGAGAGAAATATCAAAATGGCTTCCCCCAAATATTTTTTATCGTTTTCACTATCATATTTATCTGTATTATCTTTTCATTTTTTAACTAAAGCAAATATCCCACTCTTGATTTGGTTTTGTCTGGTACTCTTCTTCAATTTCCATCATAAAGAATAAGAAATTATTGTATAAGGTATTTCTCCTGCTTTCCTAGCGTGCCTTCGTGGTGTAGTGGTTCTGCACGCTGGGCCCGGTATTCCAGAGGTCCGTGGTTCGATTTCCGGCGAAGGCAGTTGCTAATTTTTTACCTTGCCTGCTTCCAAAAAAGAAAAAAACCTAATGTCTCTACAGTGGCGCCCGAACTAAAAGGATGATTGATGATGACTCTCCACTCCCAGGATTTGGCGATTGGGTCCCCTAAAACTCGCAGTCGTCCTTTAAAAAGGGGAGTATATAAAGGTATTTCTCCCGCTTTCCTAGCGTGCCTTCGGGGTGTAGTGGTTCTGCACGTTGGACCGGTATTTCAGAGGTCCGCGGTTCGATTCCCGGCAAAGGCGACTGTTCATTTTTCATCTTGCTTGCTTCCCAAAAAATAACTAATATCTCTACAATTCATAACAAATATTCTGAACTAAAACAAAAGTCGTCAGAACACAAAATTCTAAACTCCTTAAAATAATAGAGAGTCGTACCCCCACCCATGCCAAGACAGTAAACGAAAATATTTTAAGGTTTTATTCATGGAGGTAAGAAAGGTTACTTCCTAACTCCAATGGTTTTATTATAATGGGGAGGTGGGAGGAAGGCTTTTCCATCCAATTTCAGCACGGGGAGGGGAATCTAAAAGCTTTCTCATTTTATATTACGCCTGAAGGTGCGTTTTTTTTTTAACGTTTTGTGTTTTACCTTTATCTGTTAACTGTCATGTTCTTCGCACTTAAACCATAAATTCAATCCATCAGCAATCACAAAATAATTTTAAAAAAGAGCCTACCTTTAGAATTTCCGATACACAGTCTTGTTCGCTGGAGGTAATTTTTTCCCCCGTACAGTATTGCCATTGCTCGCTTTGAAATCGTTGAGTTTTTTAATTACAAATTCTTTAAATTTTTACAAAATATTAATTGGATAATAAAATAAATTCCAAATTTGGGCTTCCAGATGCCCATATTCGAGTGGAGAACTACGTTATTCAGAATTTGATATCTCTAGGTACCGTTGTTTTTTCACAGCGCAAGAAACATACATACATTCATGCAGATTCTTCATTAAATTTCTTTAAATATAGTTCAGGGCTCTAATATTTGGTGGAAACAATTCGAAAAATAAAACGCCGTTTATAGTGAACCAACGCAAAATGCGGAAACGAAATTAATAGCCCCTCTGCGCAAATTGCACTTTTGGGCTAAAAAAAGACAAAAGGGAACACGTTGCTTCATCATTACAATGCACCAAGCCATAAAAACAGGAGTTTCGAAAAGAACAAAACAAGGAACTTTGAAAAAAACAAACTCTGAAAAAAACAGGAGTTTCGAAAGGAAACGACTTTCATGACTCCTATTTGTCTTGTCATATCTACCATTCATTTTTTAATGCATTTTAATTTCTTTGGCAGAAATACAAATTCAATTTCTTAATTCTCTGAAGAACTATCAAGCATAATCATAAAGCGATACTCTGTTTACTCTTTTAATTAAAAGGTTTCTATTCAGGATTTCAATTACAGTCGAAGTGATGAAGTTTGAGTGTAAATACAAAGTGGAATAATTTCGAAGAAAGTGGTGATCAGGTAAACTATTAAATTTTACTTAGTCACGCGCAGTTTCCTTTTAATAACGCAATGGTACATGACTATGAAACTCACACGCACATAAAATCGAAACTTTTTGCATTTATATGTTTTGTTACACTCTATTAGCATTAAATTTATTTAATTTAAATCACATTTTCTGAAGAGGAGAAAAATTAATTTCCCTTAACTACGTTTAAAATCAAAGTCAGCCCTTAACTACGTTTAAAATCAAAGTCAGTATACTTTGATCATATTTTACGCAGTACAAACACACGGGGGTGTTCATGCGAAATGTAAATGATTAAATACATAAAT